AAAGGACGGCGGGACCTCCAGCCCCTGGTGCAGCCAGCGCCAGGACGACTGGAGGCCACACCCCAGATGTGGGACTAGGCCCTAGAAAAGACAAACCGTGTCAAGATCAACAGTGACCCCAGGCCGCTTCGGGTGGAGCCCGCGTTGCAACTTGACCCACGGATTGTTATGCGCCTTTATATCCTCGGGCTTGCAGGCTTTGGCCAGGTTGGCCAAGCGGCCACCCGAGGTCATGTAGTTACACTTCTGGCAAACGCACAGGAAAGAACCATCCGAGCAGTCTATGACGGCACAGCGGTGGCCCAGAGACCTGAGCACTGCGGGCTGCACCCTCAAGACAAGAGTGCAAGAGCCACCCTCTGGCCTGGCGAGGGGAGAGCCCCGCTTCCCTCGGAGACATTCAGAGCACTGCCAAAACTTGCCAGCCCACCCCCAAACGTGGGGTTTGGATTCCTTCTTGGCCGAGGGGCCCTTAACAGCAGGCACACGGTCCGCGTTGGGACCCAACTCCAGCTTAGGCCAAGAAGGCAAAACTTTGGCAGCAAGTCGGGCCACCGCCTTAGCAACCGCGATACTCCGATCAAGACCCTCGGACTCCGACGGAGAAGGCATAGGATGCAAGGTCAACGCGGCCTTGGCGGCCTCATCAGCCCAGGCGTTTCCCTGGCGGAGGTACCTGTCCCAGGGGTCATCAGCGGACTCGATGTCGAGGTGAGCCTTGACCTTGACAACCGTGATCTTCGGCCAATGCTCACGCACGAATTGGGCGATTCCTGAAAACATCCTTTTGGCAGAACACTGTTCGGCCCACGGGAGGTCCGAAAACTCTACAACATTGAGACAGTCCGAATAGATCGCACTAGGACCTGTGGTCCACTGCACCGAAATGGAAAACGCAAAGAATTCGGCCGCCTGGGGCGTTTGCGGGCACGGGGCCCACACAGGCCCAAGGACACGAACAATCTGTTTCAAAGTATTCCTGCAAACCAGGGTGAAGGCCCAGGCAGCTCGGTTTAATTCGCGGACAACGCTTCGAGAACACGACCCGTCGACGAAAATGTCACCCTCGAAGGCGTATGACTCCAGGTCCGCGGGCCCCCCTTCCAGCCATTGAACCTCGACTCCTCCAGAACTCTTAGCGCCTGGAAAGGAATCCCCAGGGTGCGGAAAGATCCCGTAGCACGCCAAGAGATCGTCCGACTCCGAAGCCCATTTCTGCACTTTGTCCGAGACGCACTCGTCCCGAATGTCGGACACACACGGGCACAGCCACAACCGATGCCTTAGCGTGTCAACTGCGCCGCCGCACAGTGGGCAGCTCGTAGACGGCAATATATAACCTAAGCTGGCGGCACGGTCTCGAGTATAAATGGCCTGGCAGGTGAGCGCACGCATACAACCTTTCTCAAAAGGCGAATATCTGGCGGAGTTCAGATACGCAAACGCTCCATCAACACAAGCCCGACCATCCAAGTTGAACCTGGCTCCCAAGTCCCACTCGAGAGTCCTACGGACCGCGGCCCTGAGAAGGTTTTTAACCAGCCTGGGGGAGAACTCCGTGAGAACAACCTTAAGCCCAGCGTCCGTGACCAAGGTGGCGAAACTGGGCATGCTCCACGAGATCCTCTCCAGAGACTTCCTAAGGGCACTGACAGGGCCCCCAACGCTCCTCCACAGTGGGCTTTCGCGAGAAAAAACAGAGGTCCACGCCTCGTTCATTTCGGGGAGCGTCAGGGCGTGACGGTGGAGGCCCAGGTGGGAGGTCCACAACTCCTTCGACCACCTCACAATAGGCGACACGGCAGAGTACCACGTCGGGTCTTGATGAGCTAACAACAAGGTAGTGAGGCTTCGGCCCTTGGCCGAAGGCTGCAGCACCGAGCCAGCGAGCTTCCTAATCTGCCAGAGTTCGTGATCTGACACCCCGTAGACCTCGGAGCCATACAGAGTGGAGCTGAGGGCCCCCGAGGCCCACACGGCTTTCGAGACCCTAGCCCCAACGGTGGGGCGGATCCGCGCCAGCCTCTTAGTGAACGCCCGCGCCTTAAACTCCCTGACTTTTTGCTTGCTGGAGCGCCCCTTGAGGCGCCTAGGGCGGCCGACCGCGTCGTCCACTCCCAGATTAGCAGAGGCCGCGACCACCGGTCCAGCCAGCCCGCCGAGTCTCCGACCGAGCTGCAGGGCCAACTTGCGCGAGGAACAGATCAGCGATCGCTTCCCTTCCTCCCGATTGACTATGGCCCCGACCCCTTCCTCAAACACACTGATGAGGCGCTCCGCGCTCGGCGGCAGGCTCTTCAAAATATGCTCTGACGTGCCAGTGCACGATAAACCCGAGTCGTCGATTTACAACTTGAAATGAACCTGCGACGGCAACGAGACCAGATCAAGCGCCTGGATAGAATAAACTCGGATCAGTGTCGTCGCGAAGGGGCAGCCAGCAACGATACCCCGACGGGCCCAGTAGGGCCCGTCCACAAAGCCCGAGAGCCCGAAGAACCGAGGCTGAAGGTACATGCTCACCGCAAGGCGAGCCACCCCCATAGGGAAACCAACCTGCCGACATCTGAACAAAAGTTTATTCAAATCGATGGTCTCGTAGTACTTATACAAGTCAAGAAGCACGGTGGCGGCCTCACCCCCCGCGCTGGTGGAGGCCTCGGACCTCACCGATTGCCTCCAAACCACGTCCAAGGCCCCCTCGAAGGGCCCTGCGGCAAAGTACTCGCGAGCATTTTGAAACTCCCAACGTTGGGCCAGGGGCCTCCTGACTTTCCCATAAGCGCGGTACACGGCACAAAAGTTCCCGATCGGGCGGAATCCAGCCGTGGCCTTGGGAATGAGCGCCAGACAGATCACAGAGATTTGGGACGGGACAAGAGCGGCCATTTCCATGACATTAAACATCGACACGAGCGAAGTGAGCGTGGCATCGCTCATCATATGGAAATGGCGCATGTGAAAACCATCAACAGACACGCTAGTGTTTTCCCGAAACTTCCTGGAAAACTCCCTGACAGCCTCAATGGGAACAGGGGGCAGACCGTCACAGATCTCACCCAACTCAAACCAAGGATTCTCTCGCTGACACCCCCACAACTTACTGAAATTGCGTGACTCCGCCTTCAAGAGGGACAACGGGTCGGCCACCACCACCCCCTCCAAGGAGAGGGTGGTGGTGGGGACCCAGGGGTGGGCCCCTTTCGACACAGCGTGAACTCGCTTAGCTCCCCTGTTGGCCCTGTACAGCAGCCAATCACGAAACTCGCGATGAGAATCCTTGCGCGACTTAGCCTCCGCGGCTCGGAGGTCTTCCGTGAAACACGCCTGCATGTGTTCAAACAAATCGAAAAGCGGCCCTTCAGGCAGCTCATACATGGGCAGGTCCTGCACGAAGTGACATAGGGACTCCAAATACCGAGAAATATTCCCAAGGTTAGACAACACCTTGGGAGGGGGATCTAACATCCTGTCCAGCACTTCCCGCAGCCCCGCCTGATTGAGCTCACTCCAGTGACCATGCACAGTGCTGAAAATATTCGCCAGCCACCTGCAAGAGAAGAGGTGCTCGTTACTACATTCACCACCCTTGTTCAAGATGGGCTTCCAATACATGGTGGGTTCCTTCGACCGAGCCCCCCAAACAGGCAAGGTGACTCCAGTAGCAGCAGCCACTTCGCGCTCAGCCACCTTAGCCCATTCCTTGTAGCTGAGGTCAAGAGCTTCCTGGGCCCGCTCGAAATCAGCGTGGCGCACAGCATTCCGAGCCGAGTCCAGCACGTCGAGGACCCAGGGGGAGGGAGCCACAGAGGCAACGACCGAGCCAGGGACCACAGGAACCGTGGGCAAGGGCGGCGGTCGCCGAAAGGCGAGAGACTTAAGCTTGCCAACAGACGGGTGGAGCATCACGGCCACAGGGAAATGGGGCGTGAGATTGGTTTCTCGAACCACTTTAACAGACGCCACCCCTTTGGCCAGGTCAGAAGAAAAAACAAAAAAATCAAACTGCTTGAGGCCAGCAGTGGACTTGCACGTGTGCCCCTCGGGCACCATAACCTCCAGGTCCCTGCGATCCCCCAAGCCGTCGAGAAGCACAGTAGGCTCCATGTTAAAATCCGCCCCCAAGCAGAAAGGGAACCCCAGGGCCCGACCCAGGGAAACCGCGGACGACAGAATAGACACGTTTCGGTCCGAGAGGTCCTCGCAATCGTGGAAGTACGCCGAGATGGCCAGGAAGGTCGCGTTCCCAGGAAGCTCGACCAAGCCAGCGATGACACGCCCAGCGACGACCTCGTGTCCAGAGTCAGGCTCTCGAAGTCCGAGTGCCGCTCGGACAAAAATAGTTAGGAGGAGGAGGAGGAGGAGGAGGAGGAGGAGGAGGAGGAGGAGGGGAGGGGGAGGAGGCGGGGCCGCGCGCGAGCGCCTTCCGTCGTGGGGTGGGAGCGCGTTAGGAGGAGGAGGAGGAGGAGGAGGAGGAGGAGGGGAGGAGGAGAGGAGGAGGAGGAGGAGGAGGAGGAGGAGGAGGAGGAGGAGGAGGAGGAGGAGGAGGGAGGAGGAGGCCGCGCGCGGGCGCCTTCCGTTCGTGGGGTGGGAGCGCGCTCCGGTCCCGATGCCAAAGTGTGCGGCACACGACTCCTGTCAGTGCGGGAGGGCGAGGGTGGGAGTGGGCGGGGCCGGCCCCCGGACTCGCTCGAGATCCATGGCTCGCTGGACTCCCACTCCTGGCTCCTCCTCCTCCTCCTCCTCCCCGTCCTGGCACTTACTCCTCCTCCTGCTCCTCCCGGTGCTCCTCCGCCTGCTCCTGCTCCTGCTCCTCCTCCTCCTGCTCCTCCTCCTCCTCCTCCTCCTCCGCCTCATCCTCCTCCTCCTTCCTTCTGCTCCTCCTCCTCCTCCTCCTCCTCCTCCTCCCCCTCTTCTGCTCCTCCTCCTCCTCCTCCTCCTCTTCCTCCTCCTCCTCCCCCTCCTCCTTCTTCTTCTCCTCTGCTGGGGCGCGGCCCCGCCACGAAGTTGATGAAGCCGATCTGCCCCTTGGGCACGGCCTGGCGGCGGGAGGCGCGGCAGGCGTGCCGCTGGCGGCGCGTCGACCGGACGCACGCTGAAATGGCTCACGGATCCGTGGATCTGGCGTATGTTATGTTGCATCCTCGGGAGACCTTGTCTGTCCCGTCGCGGCCCTGTCCGCGTCGAATGCGTGTCGAATCCATGTCGGACGCGTCGGACCCGTGTCGAATCCGTGCCGAATCCGCGTCGACTCCACGCCAAATCCGCGTCGAGTCCGCGTCGAGCCCGCGTCGGGCCCCCCAAAAAGACACCAATTTTGGGGACAGGCGAGGCCCCCGAAGATGCAACAGAACGTATGGGCCCCCGCCCCATCCGGCGACGGAGCGCGCCTGTGCTGCGTATGGAAGCGGGGCCCGTCGGCGATCCACGCGCCTGCACCGTCTTCTCGCTTCCTCGGCCACTGGCAGCACAGCGCTTCGGCTCCGGACAGAATCATTGAGGGGGCCCCAGGACACACAAATAAATACACGCGAATCACAAAATCCCCCATATTTTCCCATATCTTTTGAATGTTTGTCTTCCCCCCCCACTTCCCATATGTTCCCATATTTTCCTGGGAGTGGACGATTCATTGTGTCTGTGTGTGTTTTTTCCCCTCCTGAAACATGTACCATTGCATGGTGATTTTTGTGGGCCCCGGCGCGCCCACAAGTGGAACAGTGGCGGGCTGCGCCCCGCTGTGCCGATCCGTCGCCTGGTCGAAGTCCTGCGCCCCGCCGGCGATGCCAACGAGGAGGAGGAACAGCAGGAGGAGCAGCATGAGGAGGAGGGAGGAGGAGGATGAAGAGGACGAGGATGGAGGCGAAGGAAGAGGAGGAGGCGAGGAGGAGGACGAGCAGGAGGAGGAGGAGGAGGAGGAGGAGCAAGGAGAGGAGGAGCAGAGGAGGAGGAGGAGGAGGAACGTGAATCGGGGGCAAGGGGGGCGCGTTGATGGTGCAGGACTTTGTCCATGAGCGGCTGCCCCCGCGGCCTCTCCGCCTGAGAGATGTGTAAGGCGCCTGTGAAACGTTTTGTAACGCGCCTGTAAGGCAGAGGGTGGTGCGCCCTTCGGCCTGACGGTGGTGCATGCCATGACCATCCCAGGTACACTACGCACGTGTCACCAACAGCGCGGAGTGTGCCCCACAGGGAGGTTCATCTGCGACTCCACTGAGACAGCTCGCACTGCGTCCCCCCGCCCATTTCGGCACATTCAGCGCGCGGATTTTGCCCAGCAGTGGGCTTCACAAGCGGCCCCAGCGGGGGGATTCTCATGCCGTCCCCTCGTCCCTCACGCGGATCGTGCCGCGTAGAAAACGCCAGCTAGGGGAGTTCGCATAGCGTACCCTCATCCCTCATACGGATCGGGACCCATAGGGAGCTCTGCCTACGGCCTCGGTGCGAGAAAGCCAGCATAGCGCCCCCTCCCCCCGCCCACTTCAGCACGCTGCTGACACAGCTTGTGCCGCATAGGAGAACTCCAATACCCCGCGCCCCGCAGCGCACAATATCTGCCACAGTGCCTGCATGATGTGGGCGCGTTATAATTTCACGTGGGTAAAATCCTAGCTCAAGCACTACAGACCTGGTCCTCTGTCCCTCCCCTTGTTTGGCAGTGCATGGCTTCGTCTGTGTCCGCATCGTTTCCTCGTATCCGCGTGGTTTCCTCGTACCCGCATGGCTTCCAGTTGCGAATACAGTAGAATAGAATAGAGTAGACTAATAAAAATAAGAATAAGGATGTTCATAACATACAACAAGAATATAATGGAATGTAATAACATAGAACATAATACAATCGAACGGAACAGAACATCATATAATAGAAACGAGAATCGACAACAATTGAATATACTATAACAGAGAAGAACATAATATAGTATACTGTAATAGAACAGAATAAAATAGAATAACCTAGAATAGAAAAAATGAAAATATAATGTAATCCAATCGACTAAAATACAGAATCGCATATACAACATATATTGGCATATCATGGCATCGAATATTGGAATAAAAGAGAAGAGAACATACTAGAATATAGCACAACAGAATATAATATAATGCCATAAAACAGAATAGACTATAATAGACTCGACTCGACTAGGATAGAACAGAACAGAACATAATATTATATATTAGAACATAATAGAATTGAAAAGAATAGAATATAATACAATAGAATGTAACATGATAGAACATAATAGAATAAAACAGACAAGGAAATAATACAATATATTCGAATAGAGTAGACCGAGAAGAGTGGAGCAGTCTATGGAGTGGTTGATTTTTACAAACGAATTGACAGACTCCACGATCTTGCAAATATCCCACCAACCCACCCACCCGCAAGTTGATTTACAAAACCCATGCGGCGGCGATTGCGATGAGTGCTTGGCGTTGGCCGGTGCATCCCTGCGGACGCGCCAGCCCGCGCATGCAAGCGCGCGCAGCGGCCAGCTAGTTTAGCGCGACCGGCGCGGCCGCGGTGGCGCTGACCGATGGGCACATCGCAGCGGGCACTTCAGTGCGAGTCGGCGAATTGGGCGGGCTCGGTATCATGGCAACGCCGACAACATTAGACACGATGATGATAGTAGCGATACTGGTGACGATGTTGAAAGCGACGCCGGCACGACCAGTGACGGCCCCGATGCTGATCACGCTGACAACGATGACGGCGTGTTCGCGTCGGTGGTGAGGATTTTGGAAAGAGTTCGACATGCGCGCGCGGCCGGTGCGCGAGAATGGCCGCATGGTATTATCTGACGTGGATCATGTCCCCCAGCACGCTCGCAAGGGCGTTCGAATGATTTCGGCATGCGGCGCGAGCGGCCCGTTTGGCAGAATTCCCTGCGAATGTTGAAACACCGATGGTTCTCTTGAGGGCTCGCCAGAGCGCGAGCGCAGTTTTTTTTGAAAACGGATGTTGCAAAACCATGTCTTAAACATAGTTTCCGAACGCTCGGTTTTGAAGTCCTTGCGAAAACTAGGGGTTGTTAAAGGATTTCGGAGTGCGCGCACGACGACGCGCGCGCGTGCACTTCGCCCCTTTTTGTGCAAAGGGCTCTTGCGACAGCACGCGCACAAGGGCGTTCGAACGATTTCGACATGCGCACGCGAAACCCGTTTGGTAGCATGTTATGTACATGTTGAACAACACCTATGGGTTTCTCAAGAATTCGCAAGAGCGCGAGCGTAAACTTTTTTGAAAACCCATGTTGCGAAACCATGGGCTTCATATGTTTTGGGGCATTCGATTTTGAAATCCTTACGAAACCTAAGGTTGTTGAAGGATCTCGGCATGCGCGCGCGACGACGCGCGCGTGCACTTCGTCATCGTCTGTTGCAAAGGATGTTTGAAAACTTATGAGTTGTGTTTATACGAGTGTGCGCGGTTTTGCTGAGATGAATCGAATTCATATTTTTAGGATGGACAATGGGGCATAATCCTATGCAAATTGCAGTACGAAAAGATGAGCCGTCAACCCTGGGGGGGGGAGGGGGGGATTTCCTCATTCTCTTTTAGAAAGGAGAGTATCCACCACCGGGTCTTGTGCCAGTTGGGGCAAACTAGAATACTCTTCTGTTGTGTTATGGTTCTTTCTTTTCTGGGGCCGCCCCCCCCCCTCCCGCCGCGCGTGCCTTGATAATCGTCCCCCCTGAATTTGCCTTCTGGCCGTCTTTTCGGCCTCAAGACGGTTAAGATGGCCTGCAAGACGGTTTCCAAGACAGCCAAGATGACACCAAGACGGCCCAAGATCCAAAGGTGGCCCTTGACGGCTCAAGAGGCTCCCAAGACGGCCTTAAGATGGCCCAAGGGGTCCTCGAGACGGCCCAAGAGGGCTTCAAGACGGCCCACGAGGGCTTCAAGAGGCCCTCCAGGAGAGTCAGAAGAGGCCAAAACGAACGATGTTCCTTAGGTTTCATGAATGTTGACATTCTCGCCTGTTGGGGTTTGAGGCCGCCAAGATAGCTCCAAGACAGTCCAAGAGACCTCTAAGAGGGCTCGAAGTCGGCCCAAGAGGACCAACAGATCGCCCAAGGGGCTCCTAAGAGGGCCCCAATATGGCCCTCAAGCAACCCAAAAGGGCACCAAGACGGCCCAGAGAGGCCTTCAAGACGGCCTCCGAAGGCGTCAGACGGGCCAAGAGTCCCCTAAGACGGCCCAAGAAGCCCCAAGAAGCCCCTAAGAGGCTCGAGAGGCCCCCAAGAAGCCCCTAAGAGACCCCATGAGGCCCCCAGGATGCCCTAAGAGGGTCACAAGAAGCCTTCTCCTCCTCATCCTCATTTTTTCCCCCTCCTCCACCTCCTCCACCTCCTCCTCCTCCTCCTCCTCCTCCTCCTCCTCCCTATCGCTCGGACGAAGACAAGGTCGAGATCACGACTCTCCAGTTCAGACCACTCACTGAACTTTCACGGGGCGTGAAATCGACCTCCTCTCTACCACGCGGACGAATATGAGGTCGAGTTCACGACCCGTTCCAATTCAGACCACTCTTAGCAGTTTCTCGGTTCCTACACTCAGCCTCCTTCCTGCTGTTCACAGGCATGGTGGCGGGGTTTGCCGCGGACAGCTGGTATTAGAGTAGGTTCGAGTAGGAGAAGAGTGCAATAGAGTAGACTCGAATAGGTTAGGGTAGAGTAGGGCCGGGTAGAATAGGATAGAATATGTGGTCGAGTAGAGTCGGGTATAATGCAGTAGAGTAACGAATAAAGTGGAGTAAAGTAGGGTAGACCAGCGTATAGCGTATACCAGAGTAAGAGGAGGGCAAGGTGGAGTAGAAAGATCAGAGTAGAGTAGAGCAAAGCAGAGCTAAGTAGGGTATATGATTGATCGGAGGTGAAGGGGTGAGATCGAAGTGGAACGGAGAGCCCCCCTACCGGGAAATCGGTTTCGGTTTCGTGTTCGAGCGTGCCGTGCGTGCGGGCGAGGCGAGGCTGCGTGGGCGGGCGAGACATAAGTCTCCTGTAGCTGAGGCGCGGGGGACCAAAAGTCTCCCTTCCGGCAACCTGTGCCCCGCGGTGTCCCGCTCGGGGGCCGGTGGCGCGCGGTGTCCCGCCGGTGTCCCGCCGGTGTCCCGATGATGATGATAATGATGATGATGATGATGATGATGATGATGATGATGATGATGATGATGATGAAGATGTTGATGATGTTGACGATGACGATGACGATGATGATGATGATGATGATGATGATGGTGATGGTGGTGATGATGGTGTCCCGATGATGATGATGACGTTGACGATGTTGATGATGATGGTGGTGATGATGATGGTGCCCCGATGACGATGATGCTGATGATGAATGTTGCTGATTATGATGATGATGACGGTGCCCCGATGATGGTGGTGATGAAGATGAAGATGAAGATGAAGATGAAGATGATGATGATGATGATGATGATGATGATGATGATGATGATGATGATGATGTTGATGATCCTGATGATGTTGATGATGATCAGATGCTTTGATGATGATGACGAAGATGATGATGATGATGATGATGATGATGATGATGATGATGATGATGATGGTGTCCCGATGATGATGATGATGAGGTTGATGATGATGCTGTTGATGATGATGGTGATGATGGTGGTGTCACGATGATGATGATAATGATGATGAAGGTGACGATGATGGTGTCCCGATGATGATGATGATGTTGATGATAAAGATGATGATGAGGTGATGATGATGATTTTGATGATGGTAGCCCACTGATGGTGATGATGATGCTGATGTTGGTGATGATGATGGTGTCCCGATGATGTTGATGATGATGACGATGATGATGCTGACGGTGATGATGGTGTTCCGATGATGATGATGATGATGATGTTGATGATGGTAATGATGATGATGATGATGATGATGATGATGATGATGATGATGATGTAGCTAATGACGATGATGGTGTCCCGATGATGATGATGATGATGATGATGATGATGTTGATGATGATCTTGTTCATGATTATGATGATGAGATGATGGTGGTGTTCCGATGATGATGATGGTGCCCCCCGATGATGATGATATTGATGATGATGGTGTCGATGATGGTGGTGTCCCGATGATGATGATGATGATGATGATGGTGATGATGATGTTGATGATGGTGATGAGGTGATGATGATGATGGTGTCCCGATGATGCTGATGATGATGTTGATGACGTTGATGACGATGATGTTGATGTTGATGTTGATGATGATGATGATGATGATGATGATGATGATGATGATGACGTTGATTGTGATATCGATAGTGAGATCGATAGTGAGATCGATAGTTAGACCGAATGTGAGATCGATTGTGAGATCGATAGTGAGATCGATAGTGAGATCGATTGTGAGATCGATACTCAGATCGATTGTGAGATCGAGCGAATGAAATAGGTCGTGTGAGATCGATTGTGAGATCGATCGAGTGAGATCGATCGAGCGAAACCGATAGTGAGATCGATAGTGAGACCGATCGAGTGAGACGTTGGTTCCTCCCCCCCGAACCTCTTTATCACCCGAAGGGTGGTCGCATAGGTAGACTATTCGGGTAGACTAGAGTAGGTTAGAGTACAGTAGAATATACTAGGGTCCATTGCAGAATCTCATCCAGTCCTGTCCAGCCCACTCCAGCTCAGCCCAGCCCGAGGCAGTCCAACCGCCAACCCACTCTGGCCCAGCCCTGCCCAGTCCAAGACACGCCAGCCCAGTCCGGTCCAGTCCGACGACGACGTAAGAAGAAAAACGGCATTAACATAAACTTTTGGCGCTCCGCGCGGATTTTCTTGGATCTGCTCTGGACCCCCTCCCTGGCGCGCGGAGCGCGCCGGAGCGCGCCAGGGGCAGCGCCGGAGGTGCCGCCAGGGGGGGGCCCGGCGCGGATCCAAGAAAGCCGTGCGGAGCCCCAACAGGTTAGGTTCATGGCGTTTTTTCTTCCTCGAGGCGTCCCCAATGCGAGGCGGGGATTTATCCATATCCACCGCCTGGGAACCGACGTCATGGTGCCCTCGCGGGCGGTGGATATGGATATACTTTCGGCGCCCGGGGGCCCAAAAATGTCCATGTTCACCGCCTGCCGAGGCTCCGAAAATTGACACTCCAGGCGGTGGTCATTAGGGGAACGGAAAATGACGTAAACAGAAAATCTCGGAGGTCCGCGCGGATTTCCCGGATCGGCGCTGGACCCCCCTCCCTGGCGCGCAGAGCGCGCCAGGGGCGGCGCCGGAGGCGCCGCCGGGGGGCCCCAGCGCCGATCCGAGCAATCCGCGCGGACCTCCGAGTTTTTATGGGAATAAGATCGAAGATGGGGGAAAAAATCTGAGAGCTCTGACGAAGGGTTGAATGTCGAGAAGCTCAGTTTTCACCGTCCGAAATTGTGCAAAGCTTCCGTTTTTCGGGCCAGCTAGCCCGCCAGCGCGTTTATGCCACTTTTTGCTCCCCTAGTCATGTACAAATTCCCGCCTCGGCCCCAATCCTGGGGGAGGCCGCCTTCATCCCCGCCTGGCGGTCGCACAGTGGCAACACCTCATACTAAAACATGTTGGAAACATGTTCTAGACATCTGGAAATCATTTGGCGGAGGAGGATGAGGAGAAGGAGGATGAGGAGAAGGAGGGAGGAGGAGCCGCCTTCCCCCCTTCCGCCCGGAGCCTCGGCCCCCCGAGGATCGGGAGCGGCCAAGAGGGGGGTGTCCAAGAGGGGGGGGGGTGCAAATCATGACCGGCGGCATGTGCGCGGCCCAGCGGGGGGACCAGGGACGTAACGAAGTAAGAAAAAGCGCCATGAAATCTAAGGAAATATCATGGCCCCCGCCATGATATCCCCCCCCCCTTAGCATTCCCCCCCCCTCGTTTCCGCCCCCGAGAGGAGGAGGGCTCCTCCGCCTTTGGACCCCACTCCAGGGGGGGAGGCCGCCTTCATCCCCGCCTGGCGGTCGCACAGGGGCGACACCTCCAGGCCAAGGCGCAGCTCCTGGCGGGCGCGGGGCGCCCGCCGCGGCCGGGGCGCAGCACGCTGCGGCCGATGATGCTTCAAGTACGGCGGACCATTCGGCGGCGGACAAACCTCCCTTTAGTAGACCTCCCCTTCATGAAAACGACCTGGGACCGAAACCGACGGACCTGGACCCGCAAAGAGGACGGCCGCGACGCCCTCTCGCGAACCGAAAACGGCCAATTCCTTAATCGACGTGTCAGGGTGAGGGAGCAGAGAGGAGGAGGAGGAGGAGGAGGAGGAGGAGGAGGAGGAGGAGGAGGAGGAGGAGGAGGAGGAGGAGGAGGAAGAGGAGCAGGAGAGGTCTGTCCATCCCCGAACCGTCCAGAGCCCGAACCACGGCGGGCACAGGGAGGGGGGCAGCGACGACAACGATCCCAGTGATCGCAACGATCACAACGATCGCAGCGATCGTTGTGATCGTCGTGATCGTTGTAACCGTTGTGCTCGTTGTCATCGTATTCGATTGCTGTTATCGTTGTGATCGTTGCGACCGCTGTCGTTGTGATCGTTGTGACCGTTGCGATCGCTGTCGTCGTTGGAGTTATCATCGTTGAGGGGCGAGACGAGACGGGCGAGAGAGGTTGAGGCATCAGAATGAGGAAGCTATGGAGGGAGCTTGGAGGGAGGGTGTATGCTAACATCGTTGATGACTCTTGGGTTCACACTGGTTCTCCTCCTCCTCCTTCTCCTCCTCCTCCTCCTCCTCGTCCTTCTCAATCATATGTTCTCCCGTTTCCCTCCACCTCACCCTCATCATCATCATCATCATCATCATCATCATCATCATCATCATCATCATCATCATCATCATCATCATCATCATCATCATCATCATCCAACATTTCTCCTTCATCCCTCCTCCTCCTCCTCCTGCTCCTCCTCCTCTCTCCTCCTCCTCCTTCTCCTTCTCATCCTCCTCCTCGTCCTCCTCTTCCTCCTCCTCCTCCTCGTCCTCCGCGTCCTCCTCCTTCTCCTCATCATCCTCCTCATCATCACCACCATCACGATCACCATCATCATCACCATCACCATCCTCATCTTCATCAGAATCAGCAGCATCATCATCATCAGCATCAGCATCATCATCATCTCCATATCATCATCATCAGCATCATCATCATCATCGTCATGATCAGCATAGTCATCATCATCATCATCATCATCATCATCATCATCATCATCATCATCATCATCATCATCATCATCATCATCATCATCATCTCCATGACCCCTCCTCCTCCTCCTCCTCCTTCTCGTCCTCCTCGACGTCCTCCTCTCCTCCTCGTCCTCCTCCTCCTCCTCCTCGTCCTCCTCGACCTCCTCCTCCTCTTCGTTTTCCTCCTCCTCCTCCTCCTCCTCCTCCTCCTCCTCCTCCCTTCCATATTCATATTGGTATATGTTCCCGTCCCGGAAAAGAACCGGCCGGATCTCTGTGGTCCAGTCCTGCCTGCCAGAAATGCCTATAACCAATGTCTGTTGCGCAGCACGGATGCTACGTGGGGTCGTCCATGCTGCACGTGCCGTGCGCGGCATGAATCTGGCGGGGGGGGCACCTCCCGCGCGAGATGCCGAACTGTCACCATGGCATCGGCGCCGCGATCATTGCCCAGAGCATTGGGCTCCCGGTTGGGCGCGGCGCGCACTTCCTCGCACGCCGCGTCGCCGCCGCGCGAGCGGCCGAAACCGCCGCTCCCACCACGGCGCCGCGCAGACTTCACCTCCTCGACGCGGCGCGCGGCGCGACGTGGCCACCCGCCGACGCTTGGGGGCCCGCGCGGGATGGGCGCCTCGCCGCCCCCGCGCAGGCCCCGTGCGAACACTCCGCTCCGAAGCAGACCCGTTTCGCCTGGGCTCGGCGCACGAGCCGCCCGCCGCATCGCACGCGGGCGATTCGGCGGCAGCGGGTGGCCGCGCGAGGGCGGGCGAGGCTCCGGCCTCTCTCGCCCAAGC